TTTTTTTTTAATTGAAGAATAAAGTAAATTGTAGTCTGTAAGCAATCAAGGGTAAAGGTCAAGTACAGTACTTTTGGGAAAAAAAAAACATCAAAAATAAAAAATAAATAAATTTGTATGGTCAATTGACTCCACATGACCCCATCGTGGGTCCGCCCGTGACCATGGTGGCTCTCTATTTATCCCTCATATTCCACTCCTCCCTAAATCTTTTGTCTATACGCAAGTGGATTTAGAAAAAAGGGGAAAAGAAAAAGAAATATAATAAGCTTTTTATGAGATAGACTAGTGAATAAGAGTTTTTTTTCCTCAAGGTTTTCAGGATTTTTGTCTGTATAATTATCTCTCTTTTTCTTTTTGAATATTGTCTAGTATAATATCTTCTCAAAATACAAATATTATTCTCGATAAATTTGAGGTCGGCTGGTGAGTACATTTTTGTTACTTTGTTCTCTTTATTATTATTACATCAAATTTTAGATATTATTCTAGACGTTGTCAATACTACGTAGAGGTCAACAATTTGTATCCGTTTTTCAGGATATTATGCATAAATCAATATATTATGGAGAATTGTTCAAAAAATAATAAAAAACAATTGTATCTTCCAAGGTATCGTAAGACCAATAAAAAAAATTCAATCTAATTTCTCGTAATGCATGGATTATTTTGAAACACGAAAAAAAAATGATATTCTACTTAGCATGAAAAAAAATGAACTAAAGACAAACAAATCATAATTGAATATGCAAGCAATTATTTTCTTTACAACTACCATTGTTCACTTTAATTTTGGTCTATTACTATGTGTTAACAATGGAAGTTCTATCTTAAAAGGTCAATCTTATTAAGATAAGTAACATAATCTTTTATAAGTTGATTAATGTTTATATCTTTATTCGATGTAGGATTATATCACTTAACATGCCCCCACAAGACGATGACTCGTTTGAGCAGACCAATCTTGAAATCCATATGCTCAATTTTGGAGTCTTCATCGGATCGAATTACTCGTTAAAGTTTAATGGGATCTGATACCATGTTAACAATGTGGGTTCCACCTTAAAATGTCAACATTATTAAAAGAAGTAACATAATCCTTTATAAGTTGATTAATGTTTACATTTTTACTATGCTAATGAGATCTCTCATCATTATGATGAAAAGAAATTCTTTAGCCACCTTCCTAAACAAGCTAATAATTTGTAATTAACCACGTTTCTAATTGTTCTCAAAATAATTAAACCTTCAATAATATTACTAATTTTCATTTATTACCTGAGATCTTATGATTCTTAGGCAGAGAATCTCTTTGGCCACTTTCTCAAACAACACAAAAAATTGTAATTTTTATTATTTATTAGATTTTATTTTGTGCTTTTAACTTGGATTTATTCCCACGTATCTCACTGCAAATCTAAACCACATGAGTCCCATTCTCACTTTGACGTCTTCTCCGCTCTCTCTCTCTCTCTCGAACTTAGTTCTCTATCTCATGGCGACCCCACTGTGAGCCTTTTAGGGGAAACGTGAATTGAAGCCGCCTCTCTTTCAGAGAACGATGGTTAAATAGAACCCTCCCCCTTCTATCTCTCTCTCTCTCTCTCTCCCCCTCTCTCTGGAAACCCTAATTCAACCAGAACCGATAATAGGCAAGAACAAAACCTTTCTTGCCAAACAGAGAAACCCTCTTCAGATACCATCAATTTCATCGTCTTTACGCAAACGCTTTACTGATCAAAGCCTGTAAAGGGACCTTTTGTCTTTGCAGATCATAGCCTTTAAGCTTGGGTACTTTCTATGATGGCTTTTTCTAGCAGCTTCTTTTAATGGTTTTAAGCAACAAAAAATCTCTCTGCAGATATCTGTCTCCTCTTACGTTATATTCCTTTTCGACTTTCCTTGGTCTATTCTTTTTTTCTTTCTTTTGCTTTCTGGAATTTACCCTCTCTCTCTCTCTCTCTCTCTCTAGAAAAGAAGAGAGAGAAATAGAAATGGATTCTGGTAATAGTGGGAGCCTGCAGTCATCTAGTGGTGGTGATGAAGAGTACGATTCACGCGCCACCTCTATCTCAGCTTTCACGAGTAACCCAAAAGCCCAGGTTGGCCCTATTTCTCTATCATCACAACCACTTCAGCCGCTGCCGCCACAAAACCTCACTCACACAACCATGTTTGATTCACTCTCAAATTATTTACATCTTCAAAATCCGAGCTTTCTTTATAATCCCAACGTGATCTTATCCAAAACCCTAGGATCTGACCCATCCACTAATATCATCAACCCTATACTCTCCTCGTCTCCATTTCTGGACATTTTCAGTACTGTTCAATCACCTACACTTTCTGCATCACCAGTACCAGCTGCTGTATCAGGACCTTCTGATAATCATAATCATGATCTTAATCAAGTTGCACGTAACCCAAAGAAAAGATCGAGAGCTTCTAGGCGTGCACCAACTACTGTTTTGACTACAGATACCACCAATTTCAGAGCCATGGTGCAGGAATTCACTGGCATCCCGGCCCCACCATTCACTTCTTCACCCTACCAGAGAAGTAGGATTGAACTTTTTGGTAAACCCACCGTGGCCGTCAGATCTAGCTCTGTGGATACTGCACAGCCGCCGTATCTTCGCCGGCCGTTTCCTCAGAAAATGCAACCACCAGCAGCTCCTCCGCCGTTGCCGCCACCACCATTTCTTTCATCTGCTTCGTCTTCTTTTCTTCACCCTCCTCAAAGTTCCAATTTTTTCACTTCACTCCTTCAACCCACTATGAAATTTCCACTTTCCAACTCGGCCGCCATGATCGGCTCTAAAGCTCAAGATTCATTAGAAATTCCTTCAAACTATTCACATATGAAAATGGGGAGCTTGGATGAATATGCAGTTAGTCCAAGAAATGGTGATCAATTTCAAGCGAGTGGAAATTACTACCACTTTCCAACGAATTCTATGAATGGAAAGATGAGTTACTTGGCTAATTCTTCTCCCAGTTTCCACGGTGAAAAGAGGCCGGATAGTGTCGCGGCCACAAGGGGTGAAGGTATGGTGGAATCATGGACATGTTCTTCAGACTAGAAATGATTATACTACAGAAAGTATGATCTGGTAATTATGAGGGTTATGATAAAAACATTGAAAATATTTGATTGATTAGTGTAATATTAATTATCTTAAATCACAATTCAGATCAGACTGTTAAATCACACTGTAATAATAGTGCTTAAATTATGTGTAAATTATAGTCTTCTTTTCGGATCCTTCACACGCACACACATATCACTATTTATACAAATATATTCTCATCATATGCAAATAATTCTTGGAGTTTTTTTTTTTGTTTTAAAAGGACAATTCTAGCTCTTATATTTGTTTAATGATTTCATCTTTTATGAATGTGGAATTCTTACTTTTAAAAATAGCAATTTCAAAATTCGATTGTTCATTTGATCTTTAGACAAACAGAATTGTATGTTTGAACATTTTAGGTCTGATACGTCGTCGAGTCTTGAGATTATAATTTAAATATCAATTTCATTAAGAGAAGTAATCTAAGTTCTTTTATTTCAATAGACATTGAGATTTTACCCTAAGATATATAAATATATATAGCCTATGTTTGAATAAAATTATAAGTTACATAGTAATAAAAATGACTAGTGAATAAATGTGTGTGAGTTCGAAAAGTAAATTATAAATCACATTTAGCTCTTGTTTGGTAGGGGTTAAAATCAGATTTTGATAATATTTATGAAATGTGTGGTTGAAATGTTAGAGATCCCATAAAATATGTGGTTAAAATTAATTGTCACCTTCGACTTAGATTAAAATCTAAATTTTAACCTCTGGAAAATGGGGCTTAATGTTTCCCAAACATAGGCACGGATGACCTTCTTATATTTGTATGTATGTTTTTCCTGTTCCTTAGAATAGTAAAATATGCTATCACTTGTCTTTTCATAATTCACATGGTTTTGACCATTTTGATGGGAATATGAATGTGTATCAACAAAGAAAGAATCAAAACCATTGAATTTTAATTTGTAAGACTTTTGCAATTCATCCTATCTTCCACGAGGAACTAAACTTTCAAGAAACGTTTGTTTAAAAATTGATAAAATGTGTGGTCGAAAAGTTGACTTTGACTTAAATTAAAATCTAAATTTTAATTTGTACCAGACGGGGCTTGATTTTTCCAAACATAGGCGCGGATAATCTTCTTATATATGTAGATATGTTAATCTTATCAATTTTTGTTTCTTTGAATAGTAAAATATGTTGTTATTTTTCTTTTCATAAGTGAGGTCTGTCAATAAAAATGCATTGATTTTGATTTTAAAAAAAAAACAAAATTAAATTATATCTAACATTTTTTTTTCATTTTGAATATTAGCCTATGCATTTATTAAGCTTGTGTTTGAATCTAGCCCCTGTTTGACATCCATTCTCTTCCATTATCTTTCTCATTTTTTTTTCTCTTCCTTCATTTCAACCACACCCTATTAATAAAATAATATTACACGTAAATTCAAAAATTCTTCTTATTTTTTAACCACACATTCTTCCCATCAATCACTATTCCAGAAATTTTCCTTCTCCAAAATTGGTGTCAAACACACCCTAGATTTTGAGGAGAATAGAAATTTTGGAATAGTGATTGATGTGAGAATATGTGGTGGAAAGGTGATGAATTTTTTTGATTTGTATGTAATATTATTTTATTTGGAGAATGTGTGGTTGAAATGAAGAATGAGAAATTAACAGGTGTACGGGAGCTATATAAGCTAGACCTGTTATATCTCCTCCCAACTCGATCAAGCCTTTTCATTTTTATTTTTTTTAATTTTCATTTTGATGAAAAGGGATTATCCAGCCTATATTTTTTCTACTAATTGGCAGCCGTTGACCATAAATTTTGTCTGGTTTCTTCCCTTCCATCCTCCCCTTTTTTCGATATTCTTTTTTTTTTTTTTTAGTTTATTTTTGGTCTTTTATTTGGTTTAAAATATGTTGAAATTGAATAATCCTGGAGTGATTGGTGGCGTGATTTGGGGAATAGCTAGGCGCCGCATCCTCTTGTTGTAAAGAAAATTCTAATGTATTCAGATTTCGTGATGTTTGTCTAACTAGTTGAATATTTATATCGATTTGTTAAGAGAACGTGAGAGACGAAATGGAGAGGTTTTTAAGTTGAAATTATTAAATTGGCTTGATATTCTATATATATATTTTTTATCTCTACAAGTTTGGTGGTGATATTATAAAATCAAAAATAATGTACCTAATATAAAAAAAAATAATATCGGCAGTGGGACCCTCACACTGGAGCCATCACATCAACGGTGCACATCATAAGGATGTAAGCGAGCTGAAGCTCTTGGCTCGGGTAAAAAATGACCCAAGTTTGTTCTGCTCGAGCCGAACCAACTCTTTTTCTTTTAATAAAAGAAAGGCAATTGTGCTGCATAGCTACTTGGTTTCAGAAGCATACAATTGCAGGCTTCCAGTGGCAACTGCAGGTAGCCAGTTGCTACATGCAGACAACTGCAATTCTACGATTGCCTGTAATATTGGCGATTGTGTTGTCTCAGGCTCGAGCCGATGCCCAAAATTAAGGTTCGGAGTCAGGCCGGCTCGGACTTTTTTAGAGTCAATCCATGGATCGTTTCTAGCCGACAAATCAAATTGACATCCTTAAGTCAACGTGACTTGTCAAAATTGTAATAAGTCACTCGTCTTAATTATAAGTAGGTGATTTAAGATGGACGGTATCCTTTTTCATTAATTATAAATAATGTTGTTCTTTAAATGATACAAAATTAAAAAATCATTTCTTTCACAAACTGACAATCATGTAATGACACGTTTCTTGGCTCATTTATGTTGGCATGGAGCATGTCCAGCAAAGCTTAAAAGCAAATTAAAATAAATATATTTAAAAGCAACTTTTAAATTTAGTCAGACTAATGTCTCAGATTATATTCATCTTTAAGTAATTTTTTTTTCTTATAATATTTTTTGTAATAGTCTAAATAAATTTTAGTTCAAAAGGTCCTTTTTTTTTTTTTTTT